AAGGGCTGCCAGGGGCTGGGAGGAGTGAGGGGGTGGGAAGTGACCACTGATGGGTATGATGTTTTTTTCCGGGGTGATGAAAATGTTCTGGAATTAGTGGTGATGGTTGAGCAACTCTATGAATCATATTGAATCATACACTTTAGAAGAGTGAATTACATGGTATGTGAATTACATCTAAACAACACAAATTCTGTCCCAGTCTTGATAAATATTAACAACACTTCACTGTGCCTGCAACAGCCCTCACCATCCTCTGAGATCTGGCTTCAAACATCCAGTCTTATCTCCTAATCTACCCCTTTAAGGGAGCCCTACCTCCCTTCCTCCTCGTCTTTGTTCCCAGTGCTCCCTCCTTCCCTTGCATCTCTCCACACCCAAATCCGACCCACAGGGCTGCAAGTCAGTGGTGCTATATAGCATCTACAGTGGAATATAGTCTGCAGATGGGTTCACAGTGGGGGTTTGCGGGGTTTGGTCTTTTAACTGAATTCATTACCAAGAGGAGATTTCACATACGTATTCTGACTACAGCAGGCTATACTGGCTGCTGACCCAACAGCCATGCTCCCCGTCATCCCTGGTATTGTTTGGGTGTCTGCTCAAGGAAAGTGGGTCCACCCCAGCAGATGAATCATGTCAACCTGCTTATCTTTGCAGGGACTGGCCTGGGGTGGCTATTGGGTCGGTCAGGGCTCTGAGCTACAGGCAACAGAAAAAAAGCTCTGGGTGTTTAAAAAGAAAGCAGTTTGTTACGTGTTAGAAGCCAATTGACGGTAAAATTAATGAAGCTTAAGCTCTGAGGTCCTCACTGGCATGGCCCCCTGTGAATGTTCTAGGTTAAGGAAGGGAAGACAGGCTACAACCAATGGTCATTTCTACATGAACATTTCTAGATCTAAAGAGATCTAGAAGAAAGGGATCTAAACCTCCCAAGGTCCAGTATTTGGTATGACTTCTCTACTCACTCTAAATAAATGTCCTCTTTCATACTTACTTTTCCATGTTGATGAATTAGATGATCTAGATGTTATAATTACAGACAAGGATTTAAAGCAACTGTTATAGCTATACTCAGAGTGGTAAATGATAATATGCTCATATTGAATGAACATGTAAGAAATCCCAGTAAAGAAATACAAACTATAAAAAAATAATACAGAACTAAATGGAAATTCCAAACTAAAAATTCAAATATTGGAAAGGAGGCTGGAAAAGTGAGTCTCCAGGATTGTACCCTGGAGGGGGAGGGAGGATCAGGAGGCTAAAAATTCTTCAAACATAGCCATGCTGTTCAAATGGTATCAGACAGTCAGAAAACATGGCAAATGTCCTCTAAAGGCTGTGACCCAGTTCTAATGAAACAAAATGGAAAGTGTCCTGGTAAAACGAGAGAAAAATAAGAGAAAGGATGACCTCCTCCACTCTTCTTTCTGCCTTGAACTGCTGTATCATGAGAACATGATGATGCTTGGAGCTATGGCAGCCATTTTGCAACCTTGAGGAGATGTAGTGAGAAGGGTAACACAGAAGCTAAAGCTGGAGCCCTGATACTGCAGATCTGCTAAGCATACCATGGAACCCCTCACATCTGGATTTACTGTCATGTGAGACAATAAACTTTTCTTAATTGGGTATTTGTCACTTACAGTCAAAGTTAAACTGACTAAAACACAGCTTCTCTTGAAAATGGAGAGATCTGGGGGTATTTAGGTGGCTTAGTCAGTTAAGTGTCAACTCTGGATTTCGGCTCAGGTCATGATCTCATGGTTCATGAGATTGGATAGTGTTGGGCTGTCAGGCAGGGCTCTGAGCTGACAGCATGGAGCCTGCTTGGGATTCTCTCTGTCCTCTCTCTCTGCCCCTCCCCCAGTGCTTGCACATACACTCTCTCTCTCAAAATAAATAAATAAACTTAAAAAAAAAAGGAGAGATGTGTGAATACCAGACCTACTAGCCTCTTAGACAGGGCAGGAACTCTCTAGTCACTCACTCACTTGGCCCCCACAGACAAGTGAGTTTGCCATCCCTGCCTTATGTATCTTTTGAGAGATGATTCAACTGCCTTCTTTCTTACAAAGCACTTCCTGTTTGCAGCCTCCCTGCACCCCAACCCCACCTAGCTAGAAGTAATCTTCCTCTCCTTGGAATTCCCACAGTTTTGTGGTTGTGTCTATCTCCTGTTGTAATTGTGCATTTCATCTCCTCCCACTTGGCTGTCAGCCTTCTGAGGGCAGGAACCACACATTATTCATCCCTGTATCTTCCTCTGCCATCTAGCGAAGTACTGAACAGAGGAGACACTCAATGTATGTCTTGTAAATAAATGCATAAACACCCCTTGCAGTGAAAAATGTCAGTGTTCTGAAATATCCTAGTCTTCGAGCTCACCAAGGAGCTTTTACCAGGTGATGTGTGCTGCTTCTCAATGTAGGAAAGCAATATCCACCATACTCCAAAACTCCAGTGACCCCCGGACCTGAACCCTGCTCAGCCCTCAGCCCCAGTCATCCAGGGCACACCTGTAACAGTCCACTCTGAGGCCTGGGCCGGCCTCAGCTCTCCCTTTACTCAGGACAGTAAGACCTTCCCCAGGGTTGTCTGTGAAAAACAGCCAGTCACCACAAACTCCAGCAAGGGATGGAAATTTACACACATGCAAATCTCCCCATTTTACTAAAGAGAAAGGCCAGGCAACCTGAAAACACATACTTCGATCACAGTTCCAAATTGGAGGGAAGGCAGCTCGCAGGTTCTGCCCTAGAGGGCTGTGTCCTACAGAGGACAAGGACACTCAGAGCACCTCAAGTTGCTAACAAATCCTGAGGAGCACGACTTCCTTTTGTACCCATTCTGGATCTAATTTAACCTTACACATGCTTCTTGAACTGGCGGTTGATTTTTAGTTCCAGCTTTTGGTAGATTCTCTGCTGGCACCTATTTATTTTATTTTATTTTATTTTATTTTATTTTATTTTATTTTATTTTATTTTATTTTATTTACTTATTTATTTATAGTTATGGTAAAAGTCACATAATATAAAAATTTCCCCTTAGCCATTTTGAAGTGCACAGTTCAGCAGTGTTAAGTACCCTCACACTGTTGTGCAACCATCACCACTGTCCATTTCCTGAACTTTTTCATCCTCCCAAACTGAAACTCTGTCCCCATTACACACTAACTTTCCACTGCCCCTTCTCCTGGGTCCTGGCAACCACCATTCCATGCTCTGTCTCTACGAACTTGATGCCTGTAGGTACTCCACATACGTGGCCCATACAGTACTTGTCCTTTTGTGCCTGGCTTATTCACTCAGCATAATGTGCTCACAGTTCACCCATGTTGTAGCCTGTGTCAGAGATTTCCCTCCTTTTGAATGCTGAATAGTATCCCATTGCATGTATATACCACATTTTATCTACTCATCCGTCAGTGACACCTGGGTTACTTCCACCTTCTGGCTATTTGTGAATAATGCTACTATGAACCTGGGTGTACAAATACCCGTTTAAGTCCCTGCTTTCAATTCTTTTGTGGACCTGGACTTTGACCTTCCCCAAATCAGTCAAGATCCCAACCTTGGCATGGAATTCCCTAGGCCAGTCTCTATCCCAATGGGAAAGAAAGAGAAGCCCAGGCTGGGCTCTCAAGTGATACCATGAGAAACTCTCTGGAGCCAGAGGTGAACTGGCTGGGAACTTCAGAGCAGGATCCTGGCCCCTCCTGATGGGGATGATAAGACAAGTGAATCAGGGACGATGGAACAAGAAGCAAAAAAGAGTGGGATGTCCCCTCTGCCTCTGCGGGAGGAAACACATACCACTGCATGGAGGAGAGGAGCAAGACAAGGAAGGCCTCTGTTCCCCAAAAGGGCAGGCATGCCGCAGAGGAGGCCCCAGAGGTTCAAAAAAGGGCAGCTCGGGCTGCAGGGGCAGAGGTTATGAAAAGGGTGGGGATGCCCAGACTGGTGCTATTCAGAAGACCTCAGTTACAAGGGTCCCGGCATGGGGATGGGGAATGGGGGAGGAAGGGAGGGGATGCGGGAGTCTGGAATGCTCTCATTTGACAGATGGTCCCCAGCTCAGTCAACTCCTTAAGTACAAGAGGCACAAAAGCAGAAATCCAAAGGGCCAGTGGGGCAGGGGCTTAATGCTGCATGGTGGGTCTATAACTTTGGTCTTTAGGGTTAGGTGCTTTCAAATTTTAGTGGGAGGGCGGGCAGATTACAGCTGTGGGCAAAAGCAGGCTCCAGACACCTGTGAATCCCTCTCCCTGTCTGCTGTAAGCACCTTTCAACTGGCTACGTGATAGCTTTTGGTGCCCAAGTGTCTAGGTTCAGGTACCAAATGATGACAGCGTGGGAAGGGTATAGCCACTAAAGGGAAAACTGATTGCTCTGTGGAACTCTGAACATCTTCAGGTATAGAGATGACCTAAAGCACCTTTTCAACGTCAGGACGAAGGTACAGACTTACCTTAGGGCTCTCATTTTTGCCTGGATCAAACTTAGGGGCTCTGCTGATACCCAAGGAGCCAAGGGGGACTACTGGTGGAGGCACAGCTTCAAGGCCCTCCCCCTTGGTGACTCCAACACAAGGAGCTTCCCTGATTAGATGCAGATGTTCCTGAAACCCTCCCAAGCAAACTGGGGCCCCGCAGGAAGAACTCAGAGGCAAGCTGTCCCTTTAAGTCCAGAAAACTCATGTTCCAGATTGTTCTGGGATCCCAAGAGTCTGTGAGGTCAGCCTGGACTTGGCCACAGTGACATATGGGTCTGAAGCCAGATCAAGGTGCCAAGGAGCCTGTTGGCTCAGCTTTTTACTAATGCTGGAGCCAGAGCCAAAGATGGCCTGATGTCTCCATGTCCCAGTGATGCAATGTCCCCACCAGCACCTCTCCTGCATGCCATGCTCCAGGGCTGCAGAGAGCTGTGTATTATATAGGCTCTCGAGCTTGGGTACTCAGGGCAAAAGTCTCCACTCTGCTCCCTAGTACTGACCAGACTGATGGAAGAGCCCATTCACACTGAGATCCCAGAGGAGGCCAAAGGCTCCTGAAGAAGTTTCTGGAGGCCATGTCAGTAGCTAGAAGGAGAAAAAAAGCAGGTTAGCTGGGTCATGCCTATAATAATAGTAATAAACCTTTATTATTCCATACCAAATAAATTCCATTTAACCCTCACAAGTCCACGTGGCAGAACGATATTGCCATTTTTGACATTTTACAGATGAGAAAAATCAAGCTCAGAGGGGTCAAGCAACTTCCCCAGGGTCACACAGCTAGTAAGTAGCAAAGCCAGAATTCAATCCCAGGCCAATGTGACTTGAAATCTCCTACTCTGTCCACCTCTCTGTATGAGAGTATCGGTCCTTCTGGCCCTTACTCCCTGTGGTCACGGCCATGCCCCCTCCAGGGCAGGGGCCAGTGTAGAGGAGAGAGAGAGTTCAAAAGCACTCAGTACACTCAGCTGGACAATGACAAGACGGCTACTCTCCATGATCCTCGTGTCATTTCCGGGTCACTGCCTTAACTTACAGTCATCTTGGACCACTGGCTCTGGGAGGGACTTGGTACGGAATACAGATCCTCGAATAACCGAGTGGGGAGTGCAGGTCACCCACCTGACTCGAACTCACTGGGATCCTTACTTGAATGCTCCTTGAGTCTGAGGATCATAATCTGGGGATATTGAATCTGGAGAGAACGTGACATGGAGAAAAACAGGGGGACAGCACCTTCCCCACCAGGGCCATCCTGCTCAGGGCCATCCTGGCCACAGATGGGGCCAGGCCTTAGGGGTGGGGCAGTGCCTTGGTGGCCCTGTTCCTGCCCATGGTTGGCCCTGCTGCATATTATACCATCCTTCTGAGAGTGCAGAGAAGAGCCTGCTGTGGTGGACGTGCTGGGCACGTTCCCTCTTCAGGCCTAAAGCTCTCATCCCCAGGGGCTGGGGGCTGGGGTTGTTGCTTGCTGAGAGTCCTGAGCTGAGTTCCTCTCTGGGCATTGAACTTGCAGGGTGGGAATGCCTCAAAGTCACACCCCCTCTCCAAGTGTAGCCTTAGTCTGATAACTGGCCAATACCAGTCCAGAGGTCTGGACCTCTTGCCTCAACTGGGACAACTTTAAAGGGTCACCCCACTTTCAAAGCCCCCCGAAGAACTGACTGTGGGCTCTGAAATTTTCTCTGCCTGGCTGCTCTCCCTCAGAGGTGTGGCTCTTGGGAGGGATCCCCAGAGAAGCTCAGGGGAACCCCGTCTCAGAGTCGTCTTCCCAGGGATCTGACCTACACTACCAGAACTCTGCCTCCCTCCTCCTCTCATAGCTTCTTGTAACTTTGTCATAGTTATCATTTCCCAACAAGAATATGCATTCATTGAGAGCATATGCCACCTGCCTGACCAGCTTAGTAATTCATGAACACTAAGGCCAAAGCCCATTCACCCAGCTCCACTGCACACTCCACTGGGAGGAGGGAGGGTGGCAAGCGGCAGGACCTAGTCTCCATGGGAACTCAGTATGTCCTTCCCAAAGAAAACAGTTGAATGAGCAAGGTTGGAGAAATCTGCCTAGCTCACCCATCCCCTAGGTCTCAGATCAACCCCAGGTATACACAAGGGCCCCAGCAGCCCTGTGACCCTACTCACCTGGCTGCTTTTGATTGGACTTGGGGGGTGGGGGGGAGTTGTCACTTAACCCTTATTGGGCCAATAAGACTCTCCTTCCTGGGAATTGACTTGGCCATGGAGCCTGGGGAATAGGGAGAAACTAAGGCCTGTCCTAGGATCCTAAGCCTTCCCCATCCTGATTCTAGCTTTTCTTGAGGCCCCACCCCTGGATCCCATGAACCACCCCTGCACCTTAGGAGAATCCCACTAGCAGCTCCAGGGAGCCCCCATGGATTTCTGCCTTCTTGCAACCATACTCCCCACTAACAATGTGAAGTTCTGAAGTACGCTGAGCACCAACCATAGCCACATTCTGAGAATTTACTTGGGACACCATTTCCAAGATCCTTCTATCCCTATACTCTGTAGCAGGTACTCGAGCCATGCCTGGGAATGAATGAATATATAAATGCTACTTGTTACTAGAAGAAAATACGTTCCAAGTGGAAAGAAAACCAAAACCTCCAAAGTGAAATATCAGAGTCCATCATGATAAGGCCCATAGTGTGGCCACATGCGTGGCCACATGGTCACTGTTCTTGGCAGACGTCAGCTGCCCTGCTCCTCCTTCCCTCTCTGGAGACAAAGATGTTGGGCAGAGTCTCCCCCAGAAGGCTCCCAGGGCCAAGTGCACCCCTTTCATTTATCTGGCTTAAAGCCGTTGGGAGAGGGAGAGCTTTTGTTTCTCCTCCTGAAGATGGAGAACAAGAACCTCTGAGCTAACATCATCCCTTCCGGATGACGTCCAGGCCTTGGGCAGAGTTGTGCTGTGACCATAAGGACAAGGCAGGTCACAGGAATTCCTCATTTAATCTTCACATGGGACAGTTGGTCCCAGTTTACAGAGTAAGAAACTGAGGCATAGAGCTGACACTAAATAACCCGCCCAAGGTCACAGGGGAGTAGTGGCAGAGTTGGAACTCACAGCTAGTGCCTGTCTGGCCTCAGGGCTGGGTCCTCTGTTCTAGGGCCCCCTGCTGAGGTGACCAGGTGGGAGAAGAGATAGGGCAGGGCTCGCCCACTGCTCGCAGGCTGACTGATAGGGAAGTCACCCCATGCCGTGTCAGGGTCACACAAGGACCCTCTGTGGGCGACGTCTCAGATGGGTTCTTTGTGTCTCCCAATGCCTGATTGTGCATTCTGTCATATACTGTGCAAGGAGCAAAGAGAAACTGCACTGACAGGAGGCAGAGAATAATGGCCGCACTGTTCCCTGTTATTGGCCCTCCAGTCCCCACTGGGCCTGGGGGAGGGGCAAGGGCATCAGCCACACACTGGGGCCCCAGGAGCTGAGGGTGTCTTTTTCCTCTGGGGCAGGGAGGGAGGTGGAAAGGATCCCAGAGGGAAGAGGAGAGAGCAGGAGGGCCTTTTCTGGAAGGCAGCCAGTCTGCCCAGGCAGAGGAGTTCCTAGAACAATCCACCCAGCATGGTGGCTCTAATTTACAGCTGGGGTCCAGGCCCCAACTGGCAGGAACGGGACCAGCTGGAACTTGTGACCTGCCCATCCCCAGGCAGGGATGGACCTGGGTGGGTGCCAAGGCCGGCACCCTCATGCCTTGCATTCAGATGACAGCAGCTGGTTCCAGGGCTATCCCTGCTGGGTTCTGTCTTTCTCAGGGCAAAGGTTTCAAGCCCAGGGCAGAACGCATGTACCCCCAAGGCAAAATGTTCCAGTAGCGAGAAGGGAAGAAAGGAGAAGACAGAGCAGCTGCTCTAGACTTCTCCAGAAACCCTAAACTCCACAGAGAGAGCCAAATGTTCAAACACTGGGGCACACCTAGCTGTAAATTCATGATGGCCCTCACACCTCCACAGGCACTGCAAGGCTACTTGTGGGACCAGGGCCAGGACCTGTGACTTGGGAATACAGAGGAGCCTGGACACAATGGAAGCACCTGCAGGGCAGCAAGTAGTCAGGGAGAGGCCTTCTGGTGGCTCAGGCAACACCCAGTGAGGCCCACACTCTAGGGGGAATGGAGTGAGACCATGAACTGGTCCCTGAACTCTGTGATGACTGTCATCATAGCTCTCCTCCCTCTTTTTGGCAGACTGGGACAGACCAAGCAGCACCCAAGGCCAGAAGAGGGAAGTGCCCACTCCCCCCCTTCCCCCCATGCAGCCCTGACTGGGCTGTTCGGCCAGCATGCTCCCGCCACCTAGTGGCAGGTCTGTGCTCCTCACCTGGAAGAGCCACTGGAGCAGGGGCACAGGGCAGTCGGGGGTGTGTAGGTAGAGGTTGCTCAGGAGGCCACTGCGCAGGAAGGAGAGCTGCTGGGCCAGCGGGCAGCTGCGGAGACAGAGGAGTGAAGTTAGGGGAGGCCTCCACGCAGCCGGCCTGGCAGCCTCCCTCAACATGCCTGTCTCACGAAAGCTGCGGGGGATTTCCATATTTCAGCTTTACCAGATGCCAGAATCACATCAGTAACTGCTATGGACAAAAACGCTTGGAGCCCTTGATGCCAGGAGCTGTCAGAAGGAAAAACAACCCACACCATCACCAGAATCATTTGCTCTCCATGAACATCTCTCAGTGTTTTAAACATATGAATGGATGGTACATTTTGTCCTTTCCATTTGATGGAGGGGAAAACTGAGGTATTTACCAAGGTTGCAAAGAGGCTCTGTGTCGAGATGAGGAGTCACCTCTTAGCCAAGGGCCTGGGCTGCAATGGGCAGACAGAATTACCCTCGGGGCCCACGTGGGACCAGCGTCTGAGATCCAGTTACACAGAGCGTTTCTGACCTGTCTTGTGTTTTTCCGAAACAAAGGACACCTGAGAAGATGGGAAAATAACAGAAAGAGGCCCAAGATGGAGACATTCTGGGAAGGAAATAACAAACAAGGGTGTCACAGAAGATTCTCCAGGAACCATGTGAGTGAGGAGCAGAGTCAAGGTGGGGGGGGGGCGGGGGCGGGGATGGCACTCAGGCATACGGGACCCCGTGGGGCTACAGGAAGCTCTCAAAAATCAAACTGCCAGCATGGAGAGGAGCCTAGCTTTGAATACTCTGTGGCCCTGGTAGACCATCCAGACAAACAGGATCCCAGGTCCCTATAAAACGACTTGAACTATTTCACGTGGCCGTAGGGCCTCTGGTGGATGGTGCTTTCAGAGTCACTTCGGAGGGGCTGGCTGGGTTTCACCACCCTTCCTGGGTACCCCCAGGGAGGCTGGGTTTGGGGTAGGGTTCTCTGACCCTCTGCATTTTGTGAATGCTCCTTTGCTCTCTTGTTCTAAATGATGTCTCAAAGGCGATGAATATGGATTCCAGGAAATGAAGAAGTAACTTCATGTCTGTTCTCCTTTTTAATGGCCAGATCCATGCAAAGAACATTTCAGATAACTCTATTTCAGTCAATTTCAGATGACTCTAGATAGAAATTTCATCGGTAAGCCCAACCTTCTTCTCCTTTTTAAAAAGGACATATTTTAATCTGCCAGGAACAGAATGCTCCAAAAGAAAGATTCTTGTCTGAGCCAAGTTGCTGTCTCTTTGAGTATGTCCAGGCAATTTACAAATTGTATATATATTTTTTTCCAAAATATTTAAGTTCAGGGGAGAAAGTGGCTTTGTTCCTCTGTCTGTGAAGCTGACCACTCTAAAATAGACCTTTATTTGTACATACAAACACGTGTGCACCCCAGGGCTGCTGGCACACTCCGCTCTAATTCACGTGCTCGGTCACACAGACACTTTCATGGGCTGACCTTGCAATGCACGCATGGTTCAAGCACAGCACCCCGAACACAGACAATAACCAAGTGAACAATGCCTGGAAGACCTCACAGATTGACACGTCCTGGCCAGGAGCCATGTGGCAAGGAGGCTGGTACTCTGGAACTCTAAGGAGACTCTGGCTCTGGCATTCTGCTCAGGGGGCACCCCACCAGTTTCTCAGTAGGGGAATTGATTGTACAAGCCCCTGTTTGCTCAGATCATCACATTTCCAACTGCTGCTCTGAGGGAGAGATACCCTCTGGTTACAATGTCTCCTTTTTCGGCTCTGCCAGCCTCCCAGCAGCCCATTATCTGCCAGAGAAAAGATTAGGCTGCCTTTGAGTTCGCTGTTGCTCAGTTAGGTTTAGCCTATAAGACAAGGAGCAAGAGATAGGCAGAAAGGGCATGAACCAGCTGTGCCTTGAAAGGAATGGCTTTCAAGGAATTCTGTGCTTAGAGCTATGTGAGAGGCAAGGAATCTCCTGTGTAAGCTGGATCACAAGCCTAGTGTGTGCACGCTTGGTGAGGGCAGTACTGCTTCACCTCGGTGAAACCATGAGCCCTCTCCCTTCAATGGCAGGGATAAGGCTGATTGTGCAGACACTGCCCCGGATCTGTGATCTGCGGCAGGAGGGGGAGCCTGGAGGAAAAGGGTGGGGAAACTACGTGTATGTGTCCAAAGCTCATGCAGGTTACAGAAAGGTTACAGAATCAATTTTAAATTTGTGAAAATACCCACTTCATGTCCGCAAGCCAAGAACGCTGACCCTGGGTCCAACTGGGTGCCTTTGCCTGCTACAAAGCCAATCCTAAACTGGAAGTTATCCTGAGACTGTCAGAGGACCTGGGAGTGAGAAGGGGAGGGACAGAGCCTCCTGGGCAGCACATGCCAAGCAGGCGAGAAGCCCCAGCTGTCAAGTCTGAGGATCCCTGTGACAGGTTCCCACCTGGGATAAGAAGTAGCCACAGCCAGAATACTGTCCAGCCACCTGTGGCAAGGCACAGTAACAGAAGGAAGGGGGGGTGGGGAGGAGTTTGGTGGTGGTGGAAATTGAGGGGAGGGGATTAGCCGAAAAGGGGAATCACACAAAACAAAGGACCAGCTTGGGTCAGCACACTGGGCTCCTGGGCAGAGTTGTGACCTTCTACTTGGACTGTATGTTCCCGATAACGCCTGAGTACACATTCCTCTAGCCTCTATATCTTCATCCATTTTTTGGGCAGCAGTCCCAGAGGGCAAAGGATCTAAATGCGCTGGGAATCCCAAGTGATGGCAGAGGGATAAGTACCAAGTGTAGTTATTTACACAGCATCAGTTTCTGTGTCTTTGCCAAGTTCCTCAAATGCAAGTTTAAGTCAAATGCCTCAGGAGAACAGAAAGGAATAATGGTCAGAGCCTTCATCCTTGCTCTTCCTCTTTTTCTTTCTTTCCTTTGTTTAAAGATGAGTGAGCACCCTCCAAAGGCAGAAGTCCAGGGATCCCAGCAACCACCCAGCTGGCTGCTTCCGCTGGCTCTTTACTTTTGGGGGCAGCCGAAGCCAGTTAGGCAGCTCAGCCCCATCCATACTCCGTAACTGCTGGATTTATTTCACCCAGGCTACAACCCTGGCATGCCGGTGAGACAGGGAAACCAAAGGGACCCCATGAGGAAGAAAGGTGTTTTTCTCCTTTGCTTCTTATCCTGTTTCTATCCTTGCTAGGACCTACACCCCCACCTCACTTTACACAGGCCTTGTAATGCAAATAGCTTACGGCCTCCCCTTAAGGGACCAGGAGTTAATGATTCTCTAGAACAAATAACACCTAAGGAAGGACCAGGTGAGAACTGAGGAAGCTATCATATGCGTATTTCAGACCTCCGGAGCTAGACATCTGGAAACCAAGGCCTTTTGGCTCCAAGGAATAACATCTGGGCCCTCATCTTTGTTCTAACTGGTTCCTGGATGTTTGAGAGGACACATACATCAGAGCACTGTCCTCAGTAAAAACCCCAGACCCCGAACAAAGACGAGACTCCTGCTCTTTTCCTTTTCCAGTCTTCCAGATGCTCCGACTCTCTCTCTCTCTCTCTCTCTCTCTCTCTCTCTCTCTCTCTCTTCAATAAACTCTACTTTCACCTTCTGCTGGCTCATGTTTGATTTCCACCCTGCGTGAAGCCAAGGACCGTCTTGGCTGGTTCTGCGACCCACCCCTTCCTCCACCCCCCCAGGTCCTTGAACCAAGCTTGCTGGCATCACCAGGAAGTGGAAGAGGTCCTGGCAAAACAAGAGGCCTCAGGGAGATCCACTGCACAAGCCCATTTACATCTACTGGGCTCAGACCCGGCCTCCTCCTCCTGCCTGCAGAAGTGTTCACGGAAGAAGGGCTCCCTGAGTATACACTGTGAACACCTCACAGGAACAGTGGCAGACACACTCTGAGGACACTTCTGACACTCCTGCACACTCTGTGTGGGCCCAGGTAAGGCCACGAACAATTCAGCAGGCAATCTCCACCCTTCCCATGGAGTTTGCCCTGGCCTCTGAGCTGCATGTGGGCATAGGTCCCAATGCTTCTCCCCTTGGGGGGTGATCAGATTTCTTTTTGAACTGCTGTCAAGGGAGGGAAAGGTTCGGCCCCTGGTACCAACTTCTGCCATAAAGGCATGTGACTTTGGTTCCAAGGAACTGACCTCCGAGGTCATACATCCAGCTGGGTGATGATGAGACAGAATCGTCCAGGCCAGCTCCAATCCTGGGGCTGTGGGCTCCAGGAGATGGGCTCTTGTGCATAAACCTGTGTAGATGCAGCCCGGGAGAAAGGCCTGGAGCCCACACACTGAGGCTGCCCGCACTTGCCTGGCAATCTGTGCCAAGATTCCCCACTTCATACAGTGGGGAGGAAGATGATGTCCCTCTCCACAGAAGGATAAGGAGACGTGGATCTATTTTAAGAAGTGGCTTTTAAAAGTCGCATTCACTTTTTACCCTAAAACCTCTCCTGTTAAAAACAAAACATGTTCATTTAGAAAGTTCATAAAATGCAGAAGAATATAAGGAAAATAAAAGTTACCTGTAATCTCACAAAGTGCTAGCTTTTTGTATGGCAAAAAATCGAACCATATTGTCTCTTGAGAGATCAAGTAACCTTTTATTCTTCCTCCATTTTTGTGTTTCCGGCTGAGCACAGTGGGGGTAATTATTGAACCACTATTTCCCTCTCTTGTGTCTGGGCTTGAAGTCCTTGGCACAAGTAGGAAATAAAAGATGGCCCCAAGGCTAAATGGTGACCTTCAGGAAGTGGCCCTTACCCACTGCGTAGCAGGGGCCACCTGACCTGACCATGTGTAAGGCGGAGGGCATTCCTCCAGAAAGGCCCTCGGCTCCAGTGGCTGGCAAAGCCATCTCAACTGAGCTTCATTAGCATACTTGGGGGAGGAGGGTCTGAATTCCTCACTCCAGGGAGGCTGGCCGGCCACCTGGCCCCATTTGGCAGGGCTGCCGGGCTCCCGTGTCACTGCTGCATGGGCCATCTCGTCTGTCAAAACACTTCCTGCTGGCAGTCCAGTCTGGGACAGGAAACATGCTGTCCACACAGACCACAGCCGGCTGAGGCAGCTCTGTGAGACGCCTTCCTCTCTCCTCCCCTCTCTCCTGTTCTTTCCCCCGCCATTCTCCCATTCTCCGCCCCTCCCCTTTCTCCTGTGCCACTACTCTTCTTCTTTTCCCACAACCCCTTGTTGTTTCTTGTTTTCCCTTTTCATCATCCCCTTTATTAGACACCTTTTCATCACGGCAATGTCAGCCTTTACCAATAGGCAGACAGACACTCAGGCCCAGTCGCCTCATGGCACATCCGGGGCCACATTTCACACAGTTATTTGTGTATAAAGATGTTTTCTACCATACTGCTTACAGAAAGGTTGGAAGTAACATATATGTTGAGAAAAATGAGGAAAACGGTTAAATATGTTGGGGCATCAATGCCATACAATATTATTTCACCATTCACATTATGACTAATTGAGACATTTGGCCTTGTTTGAATACCATATAATACACATTTTGAAGACAACTGAGGAAATCTGAACACTGACTAATATTAACGGTATGAAGAATATGTATTTTTTAGGTGTAATAATGGCATTTAAGTTGTATCTAAAGGTAGTCCTAAAAAAAAAAAAAAGGTAGAGTCTTATCTTTTGACACAAACTGAAATACTTACAGATTAAAGTATATGTGCCTGGAATTTGCTTAAAAATAACCCTGAGGAGATGGCGCACCTGGCTGGCTCGGTTGTTAAACATGCAACTCTTGATTCGTGTCACAATCCCAGAGTCTTAGGATGAAACCCTGCATTGGGCTCTACGTTGAACGTGGAGCCTGCCTGGGATTCTCTCTTTCCCTCTCCCTCTCCTCCTCCCCTGCTCACTCATGCTTTCATGCTCTCTCTCTCTAAAAAAATCCTGAGGGGACAACGTTAGTGGGCACTGGTTGAGATGGAACAAGATTGGCTTTGAGTTGACTGTTGGAAGTTGAGTGATGAGTATATGGAGAATTATTATACTGTTCTCTCTACATAAAGTATGTAAAGCTTGAAACTTCCCGAGATAGAAAGTTTTAAAGGAAAGACATCAAAATGCTGTTACCTTTATATTATGAAATTAGATGGGTTTAGAATTAATGAAATAGACATAGGAGCCCTAAATAGCTGGAAAAGACAACAAAACCCCTGCTTTCAAGAAATCACAGGGATAGCTCAAGTTCTGTGCTCCCTGCTGGCTGGTGTGGGTTCCGTGGACTCCTCTCCATCCCCTTGGCCACCAAGGCCCAGCAGGGCACTGGCCTCATGAGCACGAGTGGACAGCCACTGCACTGAGTCCTACAGGTTTTCTCTCTTATTCTTAGATATATGGATTCACAACTGCTAGTGTTGAGTGTTACTGTGGTAAAGTTTCAAAATTCCCTTAAAAAGCAACACAGGCAGTGGCTATGTGAGAATGAACGTAAATTTCCTTCCACAGAGGAGAGCAACGGGGCAGCTGTCCAATGTTAACACAGTGTGCACTTATGGCCGGGGACAAACTTTTCACCGTTAGCATTGCACACTGACTGAAGGGTGGTGTCTCCAATGAGCAGATGGAAATGACGATGATGTGCTCTGGAAAACTGCTGGATGGCCCAGAAAGTGGCTCCAGTGTTGATGGAGACAACCCCAAAGGCAGGTATGGTGAGTCTGACTAAAGTTGTTCCATGAAACTGGGGTGTGGGAGAGGAAAAAGCAATATGAATAGGGAAATACACAACTTACCTAGTATTTGCTATAATATAGTCCTTTTCAAAGTATGTGCATCTAAATCAGTAAATTAAATGTTATAAGTAGACATGTGTGACTGTTTCATCTATATCTCTGAAAACAGACGTATCCAAATCGGCTAAAACACGGCTTTGAATTTCCTCATTTGGGGCAGTCCTAAACACTGGGCTCCATGAGGGAGAAGGCCTGGGCATGCCATGCCGACATTTACCTGAGGAAGAGCCCTTCCAGGTGGCTACGTGGCTTCAGGTGTGAACAGTCCAGGATGCAATACAGGGGATGACGCCTGGGTAGAAACACGGTTTCACCGGGATGTACTGGTGGGATGACCTGTAGTGACATGGAGAACCTCTCCACCAGCATCCTGCCAAAGCAAGGAGCCAGAGAGCCAAGGGTCAGGAGGCACACCTGGTCTGCAGCACAGAGGGAGGCCGGGAAGGCCTGTAGGTGCCCCTGCCCTGCAGCCAGGGCCTGGTGGAGACAAGACTGAGGGGGCGGTGGGGGGGGGGAGACAGCGCCACCTGCTGATAAAGAAGGAGCCTATGAGATGCAGACCAAGGAACTCTGCCATCCCACTCTCTATCATGCACCCCAATCCCTTGCTTGGGACATTAGTCCAGGAGCCAGAAGTCCTGGTCCCAAACCCAGCCCCACCCATTGGCTTTGTTCAGCTCAAACTTTCACTGAGTGCCACGATGTGTAGGTGCCAGGTGCTGAAGGATGAGTCAGTCGTGGGCTGCCACTGCACGCCTAACAGAAAGGTAAACAAAATCACCACAATAGCCTTCAGCAAGTGGGCCAGCCACAGAGCTGCCTGCACAGTGCTGCCAGGGGCAGAGGAGAGAAGCTCTGGGTGCAGCCAGGGTCAGGGAGGGCATCTGCACAGTGAAGGAGCCTGGACTCTTCTTCTGGGGCACCAGTCCTCAGGCTCTTGTGATCAGGAGGACTCCCCAGGGAGGTCTGCTAAAATGCAGAGTCCTAGGCCCTGCCCTGCCTTGTGAGTCTGATTAGTAGATCAGAGCTGGGTCCCAGGGACAGGGAAGGAACAGAAAGAAGAGGGGACACATTCTAACTCTATAGGGAGAGGGAAAAATTGTCAAGATTTAACGACCCATTTAAGAGGGAATAGTGGGTGAAAACAGCAAGTTTCAGATAGGAAGTGTGTACGTGTGTGTGCATAGGTATACACGCAGACATAGGCACACACACATTCTTAGACACATTCAACAACCCACATGCATCTGATACACCCAAGTATGAGCTGGAGTCATCCCTAGGGAACAGGATTGGGGGGAGGGATAAGAGGAGACATTTCCTGTTTACTTCATACAACTGTGTTCTGCTTGATTTTTGTAGAGATATAACAGATACACAACACACATTTAACAACAATAATAGCAGCCAAATCAAACAAGCTACAAGCACTGCATCCCCTCCTCTTACTGGAGGATGGCCTGAGCCCTGACAGTGAACTTGGAGGGGAGACAGCACTTGGGGCTCCCGTCAGGGTCTGGGACACGAGCAGCTGGCACTGGAAGTGGAGCAGTGTAGCTGGCAGCCCACCGCTCCCCAGATGAAATCTGTCTCACTTTCTGGCCAAGTGACCCAAGAAAAGGTGCTGACGCACGTTATAGGCTCATCCTGAGGATGAAGTGACACAACGCGTGGAAATGACATGAAAATACCAGGGAGATTCTGTCCTGTAGCCTTTTGCAAGCAGCCTCTGCAAACCATCACACAAATGGTAAAATGATCTTCTGTTTTGTTAATTTCTTTGCCATTATGAGTATTTACAGCTTAGGTTGTTTTTGTATTTTAAAAAAAGTACAAATTATTAAAAGCCTTTAGGAATTAGGCTCATCTGTGAAAGGGTCTTAGCCCTATCCCCCAAACGATCATACAAAGGGACTTTTGTGATATTAAATATAATGTATGTGCATTAAGAGTTCTGAGATGAGTCTTCCATGTCTAATTGGAGATTTCCTGTGCAGCCCCAAAGAAAGGATAAAGGATGATGTTGTAGTTTAAATATTCCCCCCTCCCCTGCCCCAGCACACATAAGGTCTTTTAACTTTCAGAAATAGAGAATGTAGGATGGCATCTATTCAAGATGCAAGATCCTTAGAGCATGAGGGGATGTTCTGGCTCTGGAAGCTTGTGGGGGTCTCTTCTACAACGGGCATCTGTGGCAGTCATGTGACTCCTGGTCACAGACAACTGTTCTAACAGATGGTGGCTGGCCCCCAGCCCCAGCCTCACCCCTTCCAGACCCACATCTCTCCTTGGCCCCATTCACGGACGGAAGAGGCTGCTGGCTTTGTGTATCAGTGAGTAATTTTCTTTGAAGCAGAATGTTGAACTGTCCCATCAAAAATGATCCCACATCAAAACAACCACCTCAAAGTAGCTGTTGTCAAAAAGGCTTTCTCAAAGTACTACTTGAAAATGTCATGTGCCCAGAAAATCATCAGCAATTTCAAAGACTGGAACACCTGGCTTAAGCCAGTTCCCCAGATAACTCCCTTCTGTGGGGAATTTCAAAACATCCAAGCCACGACTTCCAGAATCCTTCACTAGAAAGGTGAAGAGCAAGAATAGTTAATTCTTGCTATAGAGATTTTTAAAGAGGTTCAAAACGTTTCATTCCAAGGCTATCTATCCATTGAGTAGGACATCTGGGAACAAATCCATGAGTCCCAACTTAGACAATTGTGTTTATCCATGACCTCTACATTGTGCCCTTGGGCCCCTGTTCTTCTCTCTATACACTCGCTCCCCAGGTGATCTCATCCAATTTGTGGCTTTAAACATCACCTACACATGGTGCCTCCCAAGCTTGCCTCTCCAGATGAGGGTATTCAAGCTGTCTCCCTGGTCTCACCTCTGGGATCCCCCAAACGAACTCCTGATCCCACAACTGCCCCACCCCAGCCTTCGTCACTTAGTCTTCCCCAAGTTAGACAACTCCAAACTTCCAGTTGGTCAGGCCCAATCCTAGGGGTCCCTTTCAGCTCCCCTCTTTCTCCCATACCCTCCCCATCCAGTTCACCAACAAATCCTCTCAGTTCCACCCTAAGAATATATCCAGAATTTGCCTACTCCTTAACCCCCCCACCCTCACTCCCAGCCACCCTCACTTCTCAAGATTACTGCCATGGCTCATTTGCCTGTCTTTCTTCTTCTGCCCTCGCCACACCCCACCCCCATGTTCCCCAGTCTATTCTTGACACAGAGGTAGAGGATCCTGCTTGGAGCAGTGGCAGCAGGCTCACACAGGGGAAAAGCTCAGATGCCAAGCCCACCCTTATTCTCCCTGACCTCCTCTCCCCTGCCCTCCCCTCCAAGGCTGCAGGTAAGTTCCCCCTGCAGGGCCCCCAGAGCTGCTTCACCCCTCCTTCTTAGGGCTCTGCCAGAAGCCAGCCAGCTGCTCACCGAGGCCTTCCCTGACCCTCAAGCACAACCTCAGGCCTTCCACACTCCTTACACCACCTCTCTCTCCTTTCTCCTGAGCACTCGTCACCTATCTTCACTCAGGAGGGCAGAGATTTCTGTCTGGTTTTGTTTTTGCTGAATCCCAAGGGTCTGTAGAAGAGCCTGGCACAAAGTTGGCATTAGTAGATGCTTTCTGGCTGGCTGGCTGGCTGGACAGGTGGATAGACGGGTGGCTAACAGGGTACCCTGAAGATGGATTCAACTGTGGTCCCTCAGCATCTCTGAGACACACTGGTTCAGGTAACACCAGCCCACCCCCAGCCAATGGCCCAGTTAAATCATGGCCAGGAGACCCTTGCCCACATGACAGCACTGACAAAAGCCATCTTCTTTTCTCCAGACAGGGGAAGATGAAAAATGTCATATGGCCATATTCTCCCCTTGAAAGACAGTTTTCTCTTAGACTGTAGTTTTGTGCAGTTATTTTCCCAAGAGATCTGGTTCTATAAATCTGAGCAGACAACCGGGGCAGAGCAGGCTGTGTTTTTATAACTCATGTCCTCAAAGGCCCCCACTGGACGCTGACACACAGTAGGTAATCAAATATTTCTGTAACCAATGAATGAATATAGGCGTTTTTTGGGGTTTTTTAAAATGTAGGTTTAAGAAAAGGAGGCAGCTTGATAACTCATAAATGTACACAAATTGCTGGTAAACTGTCTAAAACCGAGAGCCAGTTGACAATCCTCTGCCTTGAGAGGTGGATGCAGGGACTGCCCCCGCCCCCCCCAGAGTGGATGGGCCCTTGCCCCTTCCTGTGCCCACTACCCCCCACCTGTGCTCAGGTGTGAGAGGCGCCTCATCTTCAGCCAGATCCAGGGAGTAGAGGTCAGGACAATCATGCAGAAGCAGCTTCTCTCGCTCCTGCTCCAGGGCCTGTTCCCTGCAGAGAGATGAGAGCCGACAACAGAGGTCAGCGCTGTCCCCAGTCATCCAACCCTGATACTGGGTTAGGCCTAGGAATGGGGGCCACGGCCCTGAACTCCTGCATAAAGGCCTTCAATGTTAGATTTGGACGGGGCAGGGGAGAGGCATCACGTTGCATCCATTGCGCTCTCTCTGAATAAGCAGATAAGAGCAGACAGGCCTCAAGGAAAGTTTTCACCACACAGCTTCAAACATGCCTTTGTTTGTGTGCCTTGTTTTGGATTTGCCCACTTTTTAACACATCGAGGCCTGTGCCTAGCTCCTTCTCCTCCTCCTGGGGTCGGGCCACACTGACCTGGAGAGGTCCCAGGTTCATGGCTCCCAGAGCCCCTGACACATGGCCTGCCTCTCCAGCCCCAGGGGCAGTTCTCCAGGTCCTGCTCATTCCCTTCCTCTCCCTACCCTGTGGCCTCTAGCCCCAGAGGTCTGTTCCCACCACAGCCTGCATGCCTACCATTATCTTGCTAGATACCATTATCTTGCTAGATACCTGACTCCCTCACCTCCCTCCTGCCCTAACCACACTAAACTCCCAAGCAGGTACAAGTGCATCCTTCGGCCTTCTGGATCCTTGCTTCCACAACAACCAGGAAGCCTCCCCAGCCCTTGTCCTCCCCCTCCAGGTGCTCGCCCTGGCTTTCCCCAAAGGTCCTCAGTTCCTAAAGATTTCATCTCCAGCCCAGGCCGCTGTCTGGAGTTCAGATCCTCCTAGCCAGCCACAACTGGATGATTTCCAGCTGAATGTGCCCAGGATCCTCTGAAGCCACACGTCTGGGTCTGAATTCCCTTCCACACAGGTCCCAGAGCCCCAGCCACCCAGGTCAGCAGATTCATCACAGCCCTACCACCTTCCTCCCGAGACCCCACCCAATCACTGTTCACCCTCCTTCCTCTCTCACCCTTCCCATCCATTCTCCATAATGTAGCCTGAGCGATCTCTGAAACACAGCAGGAATCACATCACTATCTCCTTAAAATTCTCCCAACTCAACCTTGTGTTCATGAGGCTTCTCGTGACCCAGCCCTGGTTCACATCTTGGCTGTACCTCCTGCCATGTGGACCACCAACCCCTACTCTGCAGTGCTGAGAATTCCAGTTCTAGTCAGCCACCAGAATTATCTGCCGTACCCACCTTCACATGTGTGGTCACCCATGCTGCCCCCCAAATCTTCTTATCCTCCAAAGTTCAGAGATAAGGATACCTGTGGGGAGCCTCTTCTGACCCCCAGGTTAAATCAGGTGTCAGTATTCCAGGCCCCTCCACAGCAACTTTCTAGCATGGGAGATAGTGGAATCATTCAGTTAGATCTGCAGGTGAGAGGCTCCTGTACAATCACTTCCACCTATCTGGCACCTGGCACAGGACCTAGCCGAGTGAGAACCTCCCAGTGCCAGGTGCCTCGATGAGCTTTACTTGCCTGCATCACCATCGTGGCAATAGTTAGGCTATACATCTCCGTCAAAGCTCCTGCCTTTTCCCCTTCTCGCCCACAGAACACTTGAGTGGGAGCTGAGAGGCTGCCACACGGGCATGAATTGGGCAGAAGAGAGCAAGGGATTCTCCTTGCATCCCACCCACAGTAACCCTGAACAAGGGCTCTGGATGTGGCAGAGGTCTGGGGCTCTCTGCCTTCAAGATGCCCCCCTGCAACTCGGCTGCCATACCACGTGCTCACTATTGATCAGAGCACACAGGACGCTCCAGGAGACACGCCGTGTAGGAGTGCAGCAGGCTGCTTGATCCTGAGGCAAGTTTGCTGGGAGTCTTAGAGGACAACCCCCCTCCCCAATTGCTGCCAACCCCATAGAATGAACATCCCAAGATGGACCCTTTTCCACGCTTACCACTTCTCCTGTAGTAAGTAATCTAAGCTATTGGCATAGCTCTCCGAGGCTCCAGAGGTGAACTAGAGAAACAGGAGGTGAGAATGGGAGACAAACAGAAAGACAGACAGATAGAAGGGGAAAAAGAATAAAAGTTAATCTAAATTAAGCCCTTTATTTATTTTATTTTTCTGAATAGGCAACCCATTCAAATGATTAAAAAATCAAGAGGTATAAAGGCATATAGTAAGATGTCTTGCCTCACCTGCATCCCCAACCAGCCAGGTCCCTCCCCACAGGTGACCATAGGTGTTTGCTCCTTGGTGTGCTTTCAGAGACATTTTATCCACAGACAAGCAAACACTAGTACATTATAGACTCCCTTCTGCCACCACCCGTAACACAAATGGCAGCAAACTATGAACCCTATTTTATACTTTGCTCTGTTCAATGAGTAGGATGTCTTTCATTTTTTAAATTATTTAAATTCAAGTTAACATACAGTGTAGCATTGGTGTCACAAGTAGAACCCAGTGATTCATCACTTAACATATAACACCCAGTGCTCATCCCACCAACTGCCTTCCTTAATGCCCATCACCCATTTGGCCCATCCCTCCATCCACCTCCCCTCCAGCAACCCTCAGTTTGTTCTCTGTATTTAAGAGTCTCTTATGGTTTGCCTAATTAATAGTATGTCTTGAGGGCATTCCATATCAATACTAAAGAGATAAGTTAAAAAAAAAAACATTTCGGGGCCCCTGGTGGCTCAGTCGGTTGAGCGTCCGACTTAGGCTCAGGTCATGATCTCACGGTCTGTGAGTTTGAGCCCTCCATTGGGCTCTGTGCCGACAGCTCAGAGCCTGGAGCCTGTTTCGGATTCTGTGCCTCCCTCTCTCTCTGACCCTCCCCCGTTCATGCTCTGTCTCTCTCTGTCTCAAAAAAAATAAATGAACGTTAAAAATAAATAAATAAATAAATAAAACACCACAAACCTTTCCAATGTAGGACTAGAACATAATATATTAATTCCCTAGTGGTGGGCATTTAGATTACTGACAATCTTGGGCTATTACAATAATTAAGTCCTATTCTCAGAATAAACTTCCTGGATCCGTGTCCCTACAGTCTACCTATAAACAGCTATATATTCTCACCTAGCTTAAAGCTCATCACTACAGTTTCCATTTAGGCATGTCAATCCACTGACTAGAGTTAGCCCAAGTCTTTGTGCCTGGCCTAGCCTAGACCCAGGCACCGAGGTCCCTCTTTTGCCCAGGTGGATAACCCCAACCTTAGCCTCAAAAGCCTTGAAGGCTCCCACACAGAAGTGGGATCAAATTTGGCACCACCCCAAGCCATCTGTTAGCAGGGACTAGTAGCAGATATAAGGGGAGAGATGCATCCTAGCCACAAGGGTTCATAGATGGGGAGAGGTTGGGGGTATGCAGTTGAGGAGGGATGGTTAGGGGCAGGTGGCCGACAAAGGGCAGTTGGGATATGGCCAAGGGAGAATGGCCAAAAAGGGGGTGGTCTGGAGGTGACTGAGGAGAGGTGGCAAGGAGAGGAGGCCAAGGGGTGGCTATTGGCTTACCAAGGTGTGGGTGTCCACCACTGGAGCTGTAGCCTTCTGGCTTGGGCCTGCCATGTTCCCGAACAGCTCCTCCAGTGAGGTCAGTCTCCCCTGGGGGTCCAAGTCCTGGGGCTCCTGGCCTAACTCCTCAGGCAGCTGGGGAGCCCATGTCCTCAGGCCCTGAGGGCCCCCTGGGCCTAGCCACCTCTGTGCTGGGGCACCCCTGCTGGCCTGTGGTGCTCTCAGGTTCAGGAACTCTATGGGTGGTGGGCTCCAATCAGTGGGGAACATGTCCCCGGCTGCATGCACTTTGCGCTTCTTTGACAATTTGGGAGTTGGAGCTGAGGTGGGACTGCAGCGCCGCCGGGTGGGGTAGAGGAGCCCCTGGTGCAGAGCATGGTCGAAGCAGCTGCTCTTCAGGTTAGGCAACAGGGTGGGTGCCACAGCGGCTGCCTGGACCCCTGTGGAAGGGACAGAGTATTATGGTATTCCACCACCTGCCCACCACCATCCCAGCCACCGTGCCATGCTGGGTGAGGAGAGGGGACAACTCAAGATTGCTGTGGGCAGGATGCAAGGGGAACACCTCAACCGTGGGTTGTCCACTTCCTTGTGGCCCTAGGCCTCAGAATGGCTCTACCTGTACAGGTAAGAGTGCCTACCTTCTCTCTGAGGAAGGGCTAGCAGAGTCTTCTGGGTCCTGGCCATCTGCAAACTGCTGGACGTTCTGTCCTAGAAAGAACGGCTTGTCAGGTGAGGTGAGCCTCCAGAAGAAAGCTAAATGCTCTGAAGTCCTAGATTCCCTAGAGAGGAGGGCAGGGCCCACTGGTGCCCAGGAGGGAAATCCCCCTCCAGTTCTACCCCAAGGACCAAGCTTGTGCACCATGAAGATCAAGTTGCTGAGGTGAAAGGGGCTCCATGTGACCTCTCATTTCAAGGATGTGATAGGCAAGTGTAAGGACATCAACATTTTTTAAAAACCTGCATAAAATCAAAACTAGCATAAGTCCACAGGAAAGTTGTGTACTGAGAAGACACTCTGCACGTCTTGCTTGTTTGGTGTCACCCCCATAAAGGTTGTTTGCTCCCAAGGGACAGAGCAGGGCTATTTAGTCCCTGCCATTTTCCCAGAACCAGCACAGACCTGGCACACAGTAGGGCTTGGTGCGTTTCTGTTGAATGAATGAGTTAAAGATACCCAGAGGTGGTACAACAAGCCCCCTCCAGTGTTAGGAGCTGCCCATCCTCAGCTAAGATGGGCCATGCCTCACACACACAGACACCTCTCATCATATCAGATTCAGGATCAGATCAACTGAAATGCAGATGAAAGGCGAATATCTGAATGAGCTAACAACCAAACGAAACAACCATTTACAAAAAACACAAACACTAACTCAACCAGGATTCAAACTCAACAACAGTGGAAGACACTCAAATCAATATGACTCTGAAGTATTCTTCAATGACAATGAAATCATAAAAAATTAAAAATTCATAATAACAAATGTTGACAAGGCTATGAAGAAATATATTGCTGTTAATACTGTAAAATGATTTATTCTTTTTAGAGAGCAATTGATCAACATAAAAATAACTGCAAGATGCGCCTGGGTGGCTCAGTTGGTTAAGCGTCTGATTCTTGATTTCGGCTCAGGTCATGATCTCACCATTCATGAGATGGAGCTCCGCATGGGGCTCTGTGCTGACAGCAGAGAGCCTGCTTAGATTCTCTCTCTCCCTCTCTCCCTTTGTCCCTTCCCCACTCTCTCTCTCTCTCTCTCTCTCTCAAAATTAATGAATAAACATTAAAAAAAAAATAACTACAAAAATGTTCACACCTGGGAGAAGGGAACCCCAGAAACTTGTTCCTCCACGAAAGCAATAATTAAGTGGACAAAATCTGTCAGAACCAATACTTACAGAACTCTGGAATCTAATAAGAAACTGATAATAACCAGGTAATGAAGGCTTAATGAAGAAAGAAGCTGCTAAATTTCAGTAAAATTATGTTTGGGCTTTTGAACTTACCCGCCTAACATCCCCCACCCCCAGCTAAGAGGCAGTTGTGGAGGCTGGGTTCCCGGTGTGGCTTGCTGGTGCCACAGGGGCAAGATAAGCTTTATTCTCAAAGAATTGTGGTGGTGTGTTTTAGCCTGTCCCCTGGTGGCTCCCGGCTCCCCCAGGGGATCAACTCATCAACTCTGGGTCTTACCTTTGTTTTATCCGACTTGGAACTTTCTCAGGGCTGGAGTGGCCTCCGAGGCGGTACTTGTTGAAAGTATTTAAAAACAAGGGGACCACCACAACCACCTGGGGCAAGGGATAACAGGTAGGGCAAGCAGCAGACAGTCTGCAAAGTCTGAAAAGGAAGAGGCTGACGAAGGAGATACATGTTGGAGTAAAAGTTTTAAAAAGCTCCCACGTAAACCCGAGAGTCCAGAAGCCACATGACTGCCCAGGGTTAACGTGTGCTTAGGAAAGACCTGAGAAGACCATAAGTTTTTACCTCTGGCTGATCATTAGGCTCCACATAAGCAGAAAGTGAAGGCTTAGGCAGAGTTGCATAAGGTCTGCCTAAGCTTTGAAGGAGTACTCCAACACAAAACCAATCTCTAAAGACCAGAAGAGTTTTATTGTGGTGGTGGCGGCAGCAGCATTTAAGGGACTTTCTAACAACTTACCAGTTAACCACCAAGTTAAAGGAACTGGGACTTTAGTGACTACACACAACAAAATAATAATGTCTTTACAAAAATAGCTTAGAAAAATCACTAAACAAACAACTACAACTCACAGCAACCAGCAACAGCAAATTCAGGTGGGGGGTAATCCTATTTACATAGTTACTGCATTATAATAGTCAAAGTGGATAATTTTCAACAAAAATTACAAGGAATACAAAGAAATAACAAAGTATGGCCCATTCAAAGACAGAAAAAAGAAAGGAAAGAAACTGTCCCTAAGAAAGCCCAGGCACTGGACTTACTAGACAAAAACTTTAAATCAACTGCCAAATATGCTCTAAGAACTGAAGGAAACGATGACAAAGAACTAAAGAAACCAGGGGAAAATAAGGTCTCACCAAATAGAGAATATGAATAAAGATAAAGAAACTATAAAAAGGAAGTAGACAGATGTTCTGGAGTCGAAAACTATAAAAATTGAAATGAAAAACTAAGTAGAAGGCTTCAACACCAGATGTGAGCTAGCAGAAGAATCAGTGAACTTTTATTTGGGTCAATTGAGATGATCAGTTCTGAGGAACAAAATGAAAAAAAGAATAAGATGAACAGGGCCTCGGAGACCAGTGGGACACCATTAATTATATCAATAGATGCATAATAGGAGTCCAAGGAGTAGAGACAGAGATGGCAGGGGTGGGGTGGGGTGGGGTAGAGGGGGACAGAAAGAATATTGCACTTCCAAGAAGCTCAACAAATTCCAAGTAGGATAAATTCAAAGAGATCTACACCTAGATACGTCATAATGAAACTTTTAAACACCAGGGAGAGAATCTAAAAAGCAGGAAGAGACAATGCTTCATCACCTACAAGGGAGTCTCAATAAGATTAACAGGTGATTTCTTATCAAAAACCATGGAGATCAGCAGACAGTGAGATGAAATATCCAAAGTAAAGACAGAAATGACTATGGACCAAGAATGCTGTCTCCCACAAAACTATCCTTCAAAAAAGGAGAAATGAAGATATTCCCAGATAAACAAAAACTGAGAAAATTTCTTTCTAACAAATTTGTTCTATCAGAAATACTAAAGTATATCCATCGGGGTAAAGTGAAAGGAAGGATATTAGAGAGTAACTTGAATCCACATGAAAAAAAAAGAACAGTGATAAAGATAAGAACATGGGTATACATAAAAGACAATATAAATGTAGTTTTTATTTGTAACTCTTTTTCTCCTATCTTATTTAAAATACAACTGCATAAAGCAATAATTACAAATCTGTCTTTATGGGAAAACAATGTCTAAAGATATAATTTACATGACAATAACAGCACAAAGGAGGGGGTGGGAATAGAGCTATATAGTTGTAAAGTTTTGTATCTTATTGAAATTAAGTTGGTATTAATCTGAACTAGACTGTGAACTATGTGATATTTATAGGTAAGTAAAAATGCAAGTATTACTGTATTTTTGGTTTGTAATTCTTCTCCTTTCTGTATTGATTTAAAAGACAAATGCATAAAACCACAATTACACATCTATGTTAATCAACACACAGTGGTTCAAAGATGTAAATTGTTACAATAAAAACATAAAGGGGAGGGATGGAATTGTATAGGAGCAGAGTTTTTGTATATATTGAAGCTAAATTGGTAATTTTTTTAAAGTTTATTTATTTATTTTGAGAGAGAGAGAGAGAGAGAGTAAGTGGGGAAGGGGCAGAGAGAAGGAGAGACAGAATCCCAGCAGGCGCTGTGCTGTCAGCACAGAGCCTGATGTAAGGCTCGAACTCACAAACTGTGAGATCATGACCTGAGCCAAGATCAAGAGTTGGACGCTTAACTGACTAGGCCACCCAGGAGCTCCTGAAGCTAAACTGGTATTAATTCAAACTAGTTTGTTACAAATTTAAGATATAAATTATACTTTCCAAGGTAGCCACTAATAAAATAATTGGAAACAGAAATGAGCAAAGAGCCAAAATGGTACACTACAAAACAGCCAATTAAACATAAAAGAAGGCAGTAATGGAGGAACTGAGGAACAAAAAAGATGTAAGGTACACAGGAAACAAAATAGCATAATGGCAGAAATCCTTTCATATCAATAACTAGCTTAATTGTAAATGGAGTGAGCTCTCAAATCAAAAGGCAGATATTACCAAAATAAATTTAAAAAACATCCAACTATATGCTATCTGCTAAAGACTCACTATAACAACATAGGTTGAAGGTGAAAGGAAGAGATACCCCATGCAAATAGAGACCCAAAGACAGCTGAAGTAGCTATACATTAGTATTTGTCTGGTATTAACCAGACAAAATAGACTTTAAGTCAAAAATTACTGAGACAAAGAAAGCCTTTATATATTGATGTAAGGGTCATTCATCAAGAAGACATAACAGTAAGGGGTGCCTGGGCAGCTCAGTCAGTTAAGCATCCATGACTCAGGTCATGATCTCACAGTTTGGGAGTTTGAGCCCCATGTCGGGCTTGCTGCTGTCAGTGCAGAGCTGACTTTGGATCTTCTGTCCCCCACCTCTCTCTGCCCACCTGACTCTCATGTGCTCTCTCAAAAATAAACATTAAAAAGAAAAGACATAACAATTATAAACATACATGCAACTAAAAACAGAGCTCCAAAATATGGAAGCAAATTGGCAAAGCTGAAGGGAGAAATAGTTACAAAATGACAGCTGAAGGATTCAATATCCTCTTTTCAATAATGTAACTAGATAGAAGATCAAAAGAAAATATAGGACTTGAACAACACCATGAACCAAGTAGAAATAACAGACATCTACAGAACTCTTCACTCTGCAATAGCAGAATACACGTTCGTTGCAAGTACACATGGAATTTTCTTCAGCATTGATCATGTTAGGCCACAAAACAAGTCTCAATAAATTTAAAAAGACTGAAATCCTATAAAGCATCTTTCCTGATCACAATAGAAACTAGACGTAAAAAACAAAAGTGGGAATTTCACAAATATGTAGAAATAAAACAACACTTAAATAACCAATGGATCCAAGAGGAAATCATATGAGAGATTAAAAACTACTTAGAGGTAAGTGAAAACAAACACAACATACCAAAATGTATGGGATGCAGTGAAAGCAGTACTCCCAGGAAAATGTATAGCTGTAAACACCTGCATTAAAAAAGAAGATTGTTAAGGGACGCCTGGGTGGCTCAGTTGGTTGAGCACCCGACTTTGGCTCAGGTCATGATCTCACAGTTCATGAGTTCAAGCCCTAGGTTGGGGTCTGTGCTGACAGTTCAGAGCTCAGAACCCAGAACCTGCTTTGGATTCTGTGTCTCCCTCTCTCTCTGGCTCTTACCCACTCATGCTCTGTCTTTTTCTCTCTCAAAAATAAATAAACATTATTTAAAAAAAAGAAGTTGTTAAATCGGTAACCTAACTTTATACTGTAAGGAACTAGAAAAAGAAAAGCAAACTAAACTCAAGGCTTGCAGAAGGCAGGAAACAATGAAGATTGGTGGGGAAGCAAAAGTAGAGAACAAAAAAAAAACAACAATAGAGATAATCAACAAAGCCAAAAGCTGGTTCTTTGGAAAGACCAACAAAATTGACAAACCAAACCAGACTGACCAAAAAAAAAAAAAAAAAAAAAAAAAAAAAAAAAAAAAAAAAAAAAAAAAAGAGAAAAACTCATATTACTAAAATCAGAAATGAAAGACATTACTATCAACCTCAGAAATAAAAATGATTAAAAGGGAGAATACTATGAACAATTGCACAAATTAGGTACCTAGGTGAAATGGACAAATAATATACTTAGGAATAAATTTAGGAAAATTTAAACTCTGAAAATGACAGAACATTGTTGAAAAAAATTAAAGAAGACATACCTTAATAGAAAGACATCTTGCATTTGTGGACTGGAAATGCACATCTTGCATTGTGCATTTAAGATGGTAAACTCCTTGAAGTGGTCTACAGAATCAATGCATCCCTATCAAAACCCCAAAGGCCTTTTGGGGCAGAAATGGAAAAAGCAATTCTAAAATGCATATAAAAACACATGGGACCTTGAAGAAATTTTGAAAAAGAAAAACAAAGTTGGAAGACTCAAATTTTCTGATTTCTAAACTTACTACAAAGGGTGGTGGGAGAGACAGGCAAACCATAAAAGAGACTCTTAACTGTAGAGAACAAACTGAGGGTTGCTGGAGAGGAGGTGGGTCGGGGTTGGGCTGCATGGGTGATTGGTACTATGGAGGGCACTTTCTGGGATGAGCAGTGGGTGTTGTACATAAGTGATGAATCACTAAATTCTACTCCTGAAACTAATATTACACTATATGTTAACTAACTGGAATTTAAATAAAAACTTGAAATAAACAAAAAACCTCAAAAGGCACAGTAATCAAAACAGTGTGGTACCAGCAAAAGGGTAGACATATATATCAATGGACTAGAACTGAGACTCCAGAAATAAATATATACATCTATGATCAATTGATTTTCAACAAAGATGCAAGATCTTTTAAAGGTTTTAGACTCTCTTCAACAAATGGTGCTAAAACAACTGGACATCCATATGCAAAGGAATGACACCAGACCCTATCTCACCAGATACCACACAACAATTAACTCAAAATAAATGGAAAATCTAAATATAAGTATTAAAACTATACAACTCTGAGAAGAAAAGGCAGGGGTAAATCTTTATGACTCCAGGTTGGCCAACATGGTTTCCTAGATATGATACCAACAACACAGGCAGCAGCAGCAG